AACACGTGCCCCCGCACAGTGAGTCCAAATATCTGGGCTGCATGTTTTACGATAGAGGCGACCCTGTCAGGGAGGTGGACGGACCTCCGATCGTTATGTCACCTAGAAGAGACTCGGGGAGTTCTGGAAACATTACGATTGCAGCGTAAGGCTCAAGCTAAGTGTGCATGACGCTGTAGCGCGCTCGAAACTCATCTACGGGCTAGGGTCTGTGCAGGTAAGTGATTCACTCAAAAAGAAACTTGACGCATTCCAGCTAAAAGGCCTGCGGCACATTCTCAAACTCCAGGCAACATACGTCAGCAGGGCGAACACTAATGAGTATGTTCTTCGCCGTGCCAACGAGGTCGCCGACAGATGGGGGGACAGAGCACGGGCCAACGACCGTGCCTTCCGGCTTGTTGAGGAAATCTTACCCGTCAGCGAGCATTGCGAACAACGGCGGCGAATGCTGATCGCCGAGGTCATTACGGCGCAACCTTCCGACTCCATTGCAGACATTTGCATTCATCGCGACACACTTCGAGTCAAGAATTACGAGACAAGGCGGGTGGGGACACCAAGGTTTTATTGGTGGAATTGTGGCATATCAATGTATAGGCATCATCTCACATTACATCACCTTCCCACACACAGGGGCGAAGAATTGTCTTTCGACCGTGCGGACCACGTCAGGCTGCTCAAGGAGGCCGCGAGAGAGGGGAGGCGACTTTCTTGATCCCGGGAGGAGGTGGATGTGGGGAAGGAGGAGGACGACGACGAGACGTCAAGCGGCTAGCTGCCAGCATCGTCTTTCCGGGGGGCACGCGCGGCGCTCTTCCATCCAGGCACGTCTGGGAGGGAGTCCGCTCTGCGCTTCTGCCAGTGGGAATATATATATATATATATATATATATATATATATACATATATATATATATATATATATATGTGTATATATATATATATATATATACACTGGAGTATGGCCCAGGGGCGGCCTGGGGCGCTACCTGTAATCTCCATGGGGGGTGCAGGGCGCCCCTGGGAGCGTCCGAAGCGTCCCGAACGGCCCCTGGAACCGCCAGGAACAGTTCGAGACCGCCCAAGACGGCCCGCGAACGCTCCAAAACGCGCATAGATAGCTTCAGGAATGGCCAGGAAGGCCCGAAGACGTTCCAAGAGAACTCCATGAGGCCCCGAAGGCATCCCAAGAGGCCTCCCAAGAGAGCGCCAACAAGTCAAACTCATTGTTTTTTTTTGTTGTTTTTCCGATGTTTTTGGCTTTCTCGCTTTTTCGGAGTTCCGACGCTCCAAGACCGTCCAACAGTCTCCCAAAACCGCTCCAAGACGGGCGAAGATGCCCCCAAGACCGCCCCAAGACGGCCCATGAGACCCCCAAAAACGTCCCAAGACGGCCCAGGAAAGCCCCAAGATGGCCAAGGAACCGCCCAATACGGTCCCAGGAGAGCCCCGACAGGGCTTCAAGACTGCCTAAGCGAGCCCAGCGGGCCCCAAAAGGGCCCCGCGAGGCCCCAAGAGGCCCCAAAGAGGCCCCAAGAGCCTCCCCGGAGGCCCCCAAGAGGCCCCCAAGATGCCCCAAAATGGCCCTGAGCGCGCCCCAAGACGCCTCCCGGAGAGCCCAACAGGCCTCCGAGAGTCTCGAGAGGCCCAGTGGAGGCCCTGAGGAGGTCGTCCCCATCATGTTCCCGGAAGGCGGTCCGGGAACATGATTCCGCGCTTTGGAGGAGTATTCTGCGCCTTCCGAGGCGCCTTGGACGACGTACGTATGTTTCTATAGATTCTTTTTCTCCTGTGTACACAATCCTACATGTGTTTACGTATGTTTCTCTCTCTCTCTCTCTATATATATATATATATAAATATATACATATATATATATGTGTGTATATATGTGTGTATGTGTGTATGTATGCATGTATGTATGTATATGTATGTATATGTATGTATGTATGTATGTATGTATGTATGTATGTATGTATGTATGTGTGTATGTATGTGTGTATGTATGTATGTGTGTATGTATATGTATATGCATATGTACATGTATATGTATATGTATATGTATATGTATATGCATATGTATATGTATATGTTTATGCATATGTATTTGTATATGCATATGTATATGTATATGTATATGCATATGTATATGTATATGTATATGTAGATGTATATGTATATGTGTATGGGGAGGGGGTCCTGGACCAGGGGGGGGCCTCACTTTGCCCAGTGGCTGTGGTCACCCCCCCGCCGGAGACGCCGGGAGGCTCCCAGGACCCTCTAAAATGGCTCCAGGACGCCCTCAGGACAGCTCAAGAGAGGTCCGAAGCGGCCCGGGAGCACTCCAAGACGGTTAAAAAGCTGCCAAAGCGTCCCAGCAGGTCTCCGACAGCACTCTCGGGAGGGGCCCAATAGGAAATTATCACTGATTTTTAGTGGGTTTTGAAGGGTTTGGGCGTTCTCCCTAGTTCGGCTTCCAGACGCTCCAAGGCGGCCCAAGAGGCCCGAAAGATCGCCTCAAGACGAGCCCAGAGGCCCCCAAGAGACCACCGAGACAGCCCAAGAGGGCCCCAAGACGGCCCAGGAAGCTTCCAAGACGGCCCAAAAGAGCTCCCAGAACACTCCAAGAGGAGCCCCAGATGGGGAACACGAACTGACATTTCGAGCCCTCGCCCACCAGAAGCTCCCAAGAGGCCCCCAGGAGTCCGCAAGAGGCCTCGAGAGGCCCCCAGGAAGCTCCAAGGGGCCTCCAAAAGGCGCCGAAAGGGCCCCGCAAGGCTTCCAGACGCTGGTGATAATGACAATGATGATTATGCAGGGCGGCCAGAGGCCCACAACCTAAATCCCCAATACTGCTCACGCGGCATGCAAGGCGCTGCGGAGATATCCTCGAGTTCGGCGGGGGAGCTTCGGAGACGACGATGACGAAAATGATGACGATGATGACGACTATTATGAAGTTGACGACGACGATAATGATGATGATGAGGAGGAGGAGGAGGAGGAAGAGGAGGGAGGAAGAATATTATAATGATGATGTTGACAGTGGGAATGATGATGATGTTGCTGATGATGATGATGTTGATGATGGTGATCGTGATGTGAGTGATGGTCATGATGATGATGGTGGTGATGCTGACGATCATGATGACGATGACGGTGATGCCGTTGAGGATGGTGATGCCGACGATCATTATGATGATGCTGCTGATGGTCAGAATGATAACGCCGATGCTGATAATAATGGTGGCGATGCTGTTTATGGTGATTGTGATGCAGGGGTGGGCGGATGATGAAGAGGATGACGATGATGATGACGATAACGATGACGACGATCACGACGACGACGACGACGATAATGATGACGATGGCGATGATGAGGATGATTATGTTGATAATTCAGGTGACGATATTGACGATGATGACGACGATGGCGATGATGACGATGGTGATGACTGCCGTTGTTTTCTGCGACCAGAACAAGGCCTTCGAGAGAATCTCCCTCCAGTGGATGGGCCGACTCCTTTACCAGTGGCAGATGCCGGCCTGGATGCAGCACGCCATTGACGCTTTGATTTCCAACCAACACGTTCAGACACGCAAAGGTCGCTTCATCGGCCCCATCAGGAGACTACTCCGCTCTGTCAACTGCCTCCTCCCTCCTGTGGAGCATGGGGTACGACCCCATCATTGACGCGGTCGCCAACTGCGCCTCTGGGGAGCGCCCCATGTACGTACGTGGACGACCTGGCCTGCCTCGCCTGCGGTGGCCCACAGGCCCGACGGGCATGCATCGCCCTCCCTTGGGCCGCTCACGCTGCCGGTCTCCTGGTCGACATGCACCGATGCAGGAGTCTCGTGGTCCCGTCTGGCCTCCCCCGTCTGGCCGTCATGGCCGTCATCCTGCAGGACCTCCCCGTCAAAGCCACCACAAGGCCCGAGAGATCTCTCCTCACCTCTTAGTCCTTGTTTGCCAAACCGTAGGTGTCGAAGCAGCCCAGGGTTGCGTTCCGTGGGACTGCCCGTGTTCCTGCTTATTTAAAACGGCGGTGGTACCGGCAGGCCACCATCACTAGTGGAGACGCTTGCTCAGCCACTCCCCTTTCGGCGCCTCCCGCGTCAAGCACGAATGGCCCCACCTCGGCGCCGCTGTCGTTTCCCGTGCCACCGACGGAGAGCCCCCCCACGAAACGGCGCGTTCACCCTCGCTCAGCGGGCCGCTCTCGCGAACGGCACCGGGGCCAAACCTCTGGCCAAAATGCGGGGCCGTGCCATGACTCTACAGCTCGCCTCAGGGGCTATCGAAGCCAAACGTTTGAACGAAATTGCTGGCCATTGATTTCTTTTCTCTGCCTCTGAAGTACGGCCTGCGGCAAGGGCATAGAATGGGATCCGGTGCTGTTGTGAAACCTGTGCTCTGTCGATTGCTGCTCGAGGCCGAATCTTCCGCGCTGCCTTCCCAATTCACTGAGATCTCAGCTGGCTGTCGATTCCTACACATCGTATTCTGGCCCCTCGGGGGAAAAAGGAGGTCCCGTGAGCCCCTAGAGGTAAGATGTAAGCGCGCCCTGCAGAGCGATCTTCTGCGAAGGGCATTGCTGTGCGCGCGTGAGTCATGGCCGCTGGATTGCGGCTCAAGTCTACCTCCTCCGTCCCCTTCACCTCCCGATATGTTGTGGTGCTTCCGCCCATTCTCAGGCGAACGGTGCTGTTGTGAAGCTTGTGCTCTGTCGATTGCTGGCCGAATCTTCTTTGCTGCCTTCCCATTTTTTCGCTGAGATCACAGTTGGTTGTTGATTCCAACATATCGTGTTCTGGCCCCTCGGTGGAAAATGGCGGCCCCGTGAGCCCCTTGAAGCAAGATGTAAGCGCGACCTGCATCCTCCTCCTCCTCCTTCTCCTCCTCCCCTGCCGCTGCCCTTCCACTCCCTGCCCCCTACTGCTGGCACAGAGGAATGGGGCGCCTGGAGTCTTCTGTGGCCACGATGGGATCAAGGGCCTAGCACTTCCACCCCGTGTGGCGCGGAGATCATATGAGCGACGCAGGAAAACGGAGTCGCCTTCACCAGCATTCCCAGACCCCCTCGAGTCATGAGAAAATCACGACGGGAGGTTTTTCGCTATTTTCGGCCTCTGGGGGCCCGTACCGGGCCTCGGGACCGTCTTAAAAAGAGTCAAAATGAAAAGCCATACCCGGGAAATGGGTCTGGACCTTCCGGGGGTCGACATCATGAAAAAATCATGACGTCGGGGGTCTGGGTTCACCGACATTAGCGCGTAAGCTGCCCGCGTAACGTCGCGCGTAAGCGCCCTCGTCTCCAATGTGGCGTGCCGCGTTGGCGGCCCGCGTAAGCCGCGGCGTGAGGTCGCCATGCCATCTCGCACAAGGCCCGTTTTTTATGTGTCCTCTGCCTGGATGGGACATTGGCAGTGGTTGCGCCAAAGTGCGTGGCTCTTCTGTCCGTCTTGCTCCTTGTCTTCGCCAATGTTACCTCTTATGTTATCATGAGCGACCCGTTCAGGTTGGCGCACGGAGTCCGCTTGACAGAGCCAGCTCCGACGGAGCAGTTCCCAGCGGCATCTACCGCAGTAGCAGGCACGACCGCTGAACGACTGGCGAGCAGCGGTACTGTCAATGAGGGGCTGGGCGCTACCAGGGCTGAAGCCAGCACCGGTACCAGCACCAGTACCAGCACCAGTACCAGCACCACGACCGGCACCACGACCAGCACCAGTGACATGGCATCCGACCAAGTCGTCGTCAACATTGGAACAAGCCTGGAGAACAACAAGTGTGTAAACGCTACATCATCAGTCAGTTGTGACGTTGACGCTGCCCAGCACGGATCAAGGCTCAACAGAGATTTGCCTAGATCGACAGACGAATTCCATGTGTTTGCGTACGGCAGTCGAGTTTGCGTGAAACGTATCGGCGACGTCGTGAGTGGATGGTGTATGAATTTAACGATCAGGTGTACGAGGTCGGCTGCGGCAGTCACCAGCCCGATCACAAATCACATACCGCGCCGACATGTGCAGGCGTGGCTTGAAGAGATGTATCCTAAACCAGAGCCGCAACTGCTTCACGCGAGGCTATCGTATCAGAACGCGTCGGCTTTTCGGGACAAGCCGTTGGTATCCATAGCGGCTATGTGCGATTGGCTGTTTATACAGAACATGGCTGGCCCGCGCTTCCCCCTGCAAATCGTGAGGCTCCGCTCGCCCCCAAGGACTGTTTTCTTGGACTTGAGGTTGGACTTGAAAATGATGATCCGCTTACTCAATTACGAGGTGTTTCCCTACATCGATAAGCCGGTCGTGGTCCTCACCACGTCGCAAGACAGGACAATTCCACAGCAGCGCGACTGCAGATTTGAGAATCGCACGCGTGAAGAGTTGCAGACTTTTGCCAGGCTGCTGAACAATTCTCTGATCGAGCGGTGGGTGACAGAGAATTTCGACGATTCTAGATTCCACAAAAAGCTCGCTGGGATTCCGACTGGATTCTACACGCCCAACTGCGAGATTGCAGGACAAGCAAATCAGGATTGCAGTCAGGAGTGGTGGTCGGTAATCAAGGCTGGATGGCTGGTGCCTCTGTCGCAAAGGCCGCTCACTCTGAGCTGCAATGGCAGGCATCATAAGGAAGCCGCCGGGGGCCAGTTCACCGACAGGGTCAACGCGCTCAAAAACTGCAGGCCAGGCGGCCCATGGGGAGACTTCTCTGAGCTTCGAGGCGAGATGTTTAGCAATCAGTTTGCTGCTTGGTGGCAGAATCACTCTTTCGTCCTTTGCCCTCACGGCGGTGGCCTTGACCCCAGCCCAAGGGCTTTCATGGCCATCGCCTCTGGTGCTATCCCAATCGTGCAGAGTACGCCTGGTCTGGACACGGTCTACTCTCAGCTCCCTGTGGCGTTTGTGCGTGATTGGAAGCCAGCGTCCATCTCCGTCAAGAAGCTGCAGCGCTGGCGGGATCATCTGGCGCCCCAGTATGAAGATCCCGAGCTGGTGGCGAAGGTGATCGCCAGACTCACAATGAAGTATTGGTGGGAGGGGACAGTCAATCGCACAGTCAGGATGACGAGCAAGACGAAGAGGAATAGTAATATAACGACGACGAAGGCCGCCGCGCAGACAGCAGTGGGCATCCAAAGGGCTCCCATGCAGGAGGGTGCCGCGCAGACCGCGGTGGGCATCCAGAGGGCTCCCATGCAGCAAGAGGTCGCCGCTCAGACAGCAGTGGGCATCCAGAGGGCTCCCACTCAGAAAGAGGGTGACGAGCGAACAGCAGTGGGCAGCGAGCACATCCCTACGCAGGAAGAGAGCGCCGCGGAGATAGAAGCGGGCATCCAGAGGGCAGCGGGGCAGAAGGCTGGCTCCAGGCGGAGAAGCTCGCAGGAGACAACCAGGCCGCGCACAAAGCAGGCTGGGAGCGCTGCGCAAGCAGCACCGGGCAGCCCGAGGGGCGCGAGGGAGCTGATCGAGCGAGGCTCCCGACAGCAGAGGAAGCAGGACGGCAAGCAGAGGAGCCGGCAGGAGATCGCCAGGCAGCGGAAGGACATCAGGGTCGCGAGAAGAAGGGCAGAGGAAGCGGCTCGCGCACTCGCGCAGGGGACTTGAAGGAGCAGCAGGGTAAGGATGGGCAAATGTTCCGCCACCACTACCACATGTAGGAAAGGGGGAGACAGGAGGATGAGGAGGTCCTCCTCCTCCTCCTCCTCCTCCTCCTCCTCCTCCTCCTCCTCCTCCTCCCTCTCCTGCCTATGGCAGTGGTGATGGAAACTGGGCCCATCAAGGAGGGCTCCCCGCCGCGCCCCTCGGCAGCGGGCCGCCGGGGAGACGGCGCGGAGCAGCCGCAGCGCGCCCGCGGCGGGCGCGAGCCTCGGCGGCCGCCCTCGCGCGGGAGCGCCGCGGGGCCTGGGGCGGCTTGGGTCCCTCTACAGGAGGGAGATCCAACAGTAGTTAAAATGATCCTGGCGAAGGACCCAGCCATATGCAATTGTGAATGCCGCAGTTGTGAATAGCTTCTTCGGTGGCGCTCCCTATGGGGCCACGAAGCGTGTGAGGGGTGTGCCGAAATGGGTGCGCGGGACGCGTGCGGGCACACCCACTGGGACCTTCGGTGGAGCTCCTATGGGGCCACGAAACACGTGAGGGGTGTGCCGAAATGGGTGTGTGCGGGACGCATGCGGGCACACCCACTGGGACTTTCGGTGGAGCCCCCTACGGGGCCACGAAACGTGCGAGGGGTGTGCCGAAATGGGTGTGCGGGACGCATGCGGGCACACCCACTGGGGCTTTCGGTGGAGCTCCCTATGGGACCACGAAACGTGTGAGGGGTCACAAAACGCGTGAGGGGTGTGCAGAAATGGGTGTGCGGGACGCATGCGGGCACACCCACTGGGGCCTGCGGTGGAGCTCCCTATGGGGCCACGAAACGTGTGAAGTGCATGCCGAAATGTGTGTGCGGGACGCATGCGGGCACACCCACTGGGACCTTCGGTGGAGCTCCTATGGGGCCACGAAGCGCGTGAGGGGTGTGCCGAATTGGGTGTGGGTGACGCATGCGGGCGGCAGCACTGGGGCCTTCGGTGGAGCTCCCTATGGGGCCACGAAGCGTGTGAGGGGTGTGCCGAAATGAGTGTGCGGGACGCATGCGGGCACACCCACCGGGACCTTCGGTGGAGCTCCCTTTGGGGCCACGAAACGTGTGAGGGGTGTGCCGAATTGGGTGTGCGTGACGCATGCGGGCGGCAGCACTGGGGCCTTCGGCGGAGCTCCCGATGGGGCCACGAAGCGTGTGAGGGGTGTGCCGAGTTGGGTGTGCGTGACGCATGCGGGCGGCAGCACTGGGGCCTTCGGCGGAGCTCCTATGGGGCCACGAAACGTGTGAGGGGTGTGCCGAATTGGGTGTGCGTGACGCATGCGGGCGGCAGCACTGGGGCATTCGGCGGAGCTTCTGCTATGGGGCCACGAAACGTGTGAGGGGTGTGCCGGATTGTGTGTGGGTGACGCATGCAGGCGGCAGCACTGGGGCCTTCGGCGGAGCTCCTATGGGGCCACGAAACGTGTGAGGGGTGTGCCGAATTGGATGTGGGTGACGCATGCGGGCGGCAGCACTGGGGCCTTCGGTGGAGCTCCCTATGGAGCCACGAAACGTGTGAGGGGTGTGCCGAAATGGGTGTGGGTGACGCATGCGGGCGCGGGCACTGGGCCTTCGGTGGAGCTCCCTATGGAGCCACGAAACGTGTGAGGGGTGTGCCGAATTGGGTGTGGGTGACGCATGCGGGCGGCAGACTGGGGCTTCGGTGGAGCCCTATGGGGCCACGAAACGTGTGAGGGGTGTGCCGAATTGGGTGTGCGGGACGCATGCGGGCGGCAGCACTGGGCCTTCGGTGGAGCTCCCTATGGGGCCACGAAGCGCGTGATGTGGTGTGCCGGATTGGGTGTGGTGACGCATGCGGGCGGCAGCACTGGGGCCTTCGGTGGAGCTCCCTATGGGGCCACGAAACGTGTGAGGGGTGTGCCGAATTGGGTGTGCGTGACGCATGCGGGCGGCAGCACTGGGGGGCCTTCGGCGGAGCTCCTATGGGGCCACGAAAACGTGTGAGGGGTGTGCCGAATTGGGTGTGGGTGACGCATGCGGGCGGCAGCACTGGGGCCTTCGGCGGGGCACCTATGGGGCCACGAGGCGTGTGAGGGGTGTGCCGAATTGGGTGTGGGTGACGCATGCGGGCGGCAGCACTGGGGCCTTCGGCGGAACTCCTATGGGGCCACGAAACGTGTGAGGGGTGTGCCGAATTGGGTGTGCGTGACGCATGCGGGCGGCAGCACTGGGGCCTTCGGCGGAGCTCCTATGGGGCCACGAAACGTGTGAGGGGTGTGGCGAATTCGGTGTGGGTGACGCATGCGGGCGGCAGCAATGGGGCCTTCGGCGGAGCTTCTATGGGGCCAGGAAGCGTGTGAGGGGTGTGCCGAATTGGGTGTGGCTGACGCGGAGGGGGGGGAGGGAGGATGAGGAGAGGAGGAGGAGGATGAGGATGAGGAGGAACGCGGGGCACGGTCTCTTCAAAACGAGGACCCAACACCACAGGATGGTTGGGAAAAATAGTCTGGGGACGATTGTTTTAGCATTTTCTGACCATTTGGGAGCGTTTGTTGACAATTCTTGACGGCAGGATTCGCAAATTTACAATGTACCGCGCCCCGGACGTTGTCCCCGCTCCTTGGGTTTTTCCTTGGAGCCGCGACCAAAAGCATGCGGGCACACCCAACGGGACCTTCGGTGGAGCTTCCTTTGGGGCAACGAAACGTGTGAGGGGTGTGCCGAATTGGGTGTGCGTGACGCATGCGGGCGGCAGCACTGGGGCCTTCGGCGGAGCTCCATATGGGGCCACGAAGCGTGTGAGTGGTGTGCCGAATTGGGTGTGCGTGACGCATGCGGGCGGCAGCACTGGGGCCTTCGGCGGAGCTCCCTATGGGGCCACGAAACGTGTGAGGGGTGCGCCGAATTGGGCGTGCGTGACGCATGCGGGCGGCAGCATTGGGGCCTTCGGCGGAGCTCCCTATGGGGCAGCGAGACGTGTGAGGGGTGTGCCGAATTGGGTGTGCGTGACGCATGCGGGCGGCAGCACTGGGGCCTTCGGCGGAGCTCTTTATGGGGCCACGAAGAGTGTGAGGGGTGTGCCGAAGTGGGCGTGCGTGACGCATGCGGGCGGCAGCACTGGGGCCTTCGGCGGAGCTCACTATGGGGCCACGAGACGTGTGAGGGGTGTGCCGAGTTGGGTGCGCGTGACGCACGCGGGCGGCAGCACTGGGGCCTTCGGCGGAGCTCCCTATGGGGCCACGAAGCGTGTAAGGGGTGTGCCGAATTGGGTGTGGGTGACGCATGCGGGCGGCAGCACTGGGGCCTTCGGTAGAGCTCCCTATGGAGCGACGAAGCGTGTGCGGGGTGTGCCGAAATGGGTGTGCGTGACGCATGCGGGCGGCAGCACTGGGGCCTTCGGCGGAGCTCCCTATGGGGCCACGAAACGTGTGAGGGGTGTGCCGAATTGGGTGTGCGGTGACGCATGCGGGCGGCAGCACTGGGGCCTTCGGCGGAGCTCCCTATGGGGCCACGAAACGTGTGAGGGGTGTGCCGAATTGGGTGTGCGGGACGCATGCGGGCGGCAGCACTGGGGCCTTCGGTGGGGCTCCCTATGGGGCCACGAAACGTGTGAGGGGTGTGCCGAATGAGGTGTGGGTGACGCATGCAGGCGGCAGCACTGGGGCCTTCGGCGGAGCTCCTATGGGGCCACGAAACGTGTGAGGGGTGTGCCGAATTGGATGTGGGTGACGCATGCGGGCGGCAGCACTGGGGCCTTCGGTGGAGTTCCCTATGGAGCCACGAAACGTGTGAGGGGTGTGCCGAAATGGGTGTGGGTGACGCATGCGGGCGCGGGCACTGGGGCCTTCGGTGGAGCTCCCTATGGAGCCACGAAACGTGTGAGGGGTGTGCCGAAATGGGGGTGGGTGACGCATGCGGGCGCGGGCACTGGGGCCTTCGGTGGAGCTCCCTATGGGGCCACGAAACGTGTGAGGGGTGTGCCGAAATGGGTGTGGGTGACGCATGCGGGCGCGGGCACTGGGGCCTTCGGTGGAGCTCCCTATGGGGCCACGAAACGTGTGAGGGTGTGCCGAAATGGGTGTGGGGACGCATGCGGGCGCGGGCGCTGGGGCCTTCGGTGGAGCTCCCTATGAGCCACGAAACGTGTGAGGGGTGTGCCGAAATGGGTGTGGGTGACGCATGCGGGCGCGGGCACTGGGGCCTTCGGTGGAGCTCCCTATGGAGCCACGAAACGTGTGAGGGGTGTGCCGAAATGGGTGTGGGTGACGCGTGCGGGCGCGGGCACTGGGGCCTTCGGTGGAGCTCCCTATGGAGCCACGAAACGTGTGAGGGGTGTGCCGAAATGGGTGTGGGTGACGCATGCGGGCGCGGGCACTGGGGCCTTCGGTGGAGCTCCCTATGGAGCCACGAAACGTGTGAGGGGTGTGCCGAAATGGGTGTGGGTGACGCATGCGGGCGCGGGCGCTGGGGCCTTCGGTGGAGCTCCCTATGGAGCCACGAAACGGTGTACTGGGTGGGTGAAGAGGAGAGGAGGAGAGGAGGGGAGGAGAGGAGGAGAGGAGAGGAGAGGAGAGGGGAGGGGAGGAGAGGAGAGGAGAGGAGAGGAGAGGAGAGGAGAGGAGAGGAGAGGAGAGGAGAGGAGAGGAACGCGGGGCACCGTCTCTTCAAAACGAGGACCCAACACCACAGGATGGTTGGGAAAAAAGTAAAACCCACCAGCCCATCCAGAAACGATGCCCAGAGGATTTGCCTCGGTCAGGGAAGCGGGCCGCACACAGAGGAAGGGTCCCCCAGTGGAGGCCTCTTGAGCGTCTTGGGGGCCTCTTGGCGGTCCCGGACGCCTCTTAGAGCGTCTTACGTGCCTCGCAAAGCTTTTGGGGGCGTTTTGGGGGTCTCTTGGGAGCCTCGTGGAGGCCTCTTGGGCGTCTGTTGGGGCCTCCTGGGCGCCTCTTGGGGCCCTCTTGAAGCGCTCTTGGGGACCTTGGGAGCGCTCTTGGAGCCCTCGCAGGCCATCTTGGAGCCATCTTGAGGCCTCAGATGGCCATCGGAAGCGAAAAGGCTCAAAGAAGGGGGCTCCCTTAATTAGCGCCTCCCCCCAAGAGGCCAAAATGAGGCCAA